AATATAAAATGCCCTAGGATTTAATTTAAGAAACCTTTTTTGCACACCATTGTTTTTCCCCTTCATGTTAGCTCCATTATCATAACCTTGGCCCCTTACATTATTAATATCAAGTTCAAGACACTTTAATACAGCTTGTAACTAATTAAAAAGCCCACATTCAGATGTATCATCCACTTTCAAGAACTCTAAAAAATACTCTTCTACCTTTATGGGAGCATTTGACACATCTACACATCGAATTATTAAAGTCATTTGCTCATGGTTACTTACATCAGGAGTACAATCAAGTATTACAGAAAAATATGTTGCCTCTTTGATTTTTTTCAATTATACCACTTCTAACCTTGGAGCCTAACATACCAATAAACTCATTTTGAATTTTATGACTAAGATAGTGATAATGAATCTCATTATTTTGAATACGTCTGAAATGCTCTTGCAATAACAAATCAAATTTTGCAATTAATTCAAGCAGCCCCAAAAAGTTACCATTGTTATCTTGGTAAATTTTCTCATTCTCTCCACGAAAAGCTAAATTTCTTTTAGCAAGGCATCTCACAACAGAAATTATTCTTATTAAAACCAATTTCCAATGTTCCTTCTCTTTTTTAATTTGCACTTGTAGCTCTTTATCAATTGTTTCATTCTTTTTCAATCTAATTTGCATGTCAATCCAAGTTCTCATGTTATTTATATGCTCACTACTAGTTTCATGTTGTTTAAGCCTCACACTTAAACATTTCCAGTCATTAAGCCCTTCATTTGCCAACAAACTTCTAATTTTCACATATTTAAACAACTTACACAAAAACAATATACTTTGTCCACGTCTTTTGAGTACACTAGCCATTTTCTATCTTGACCCTCCCCATTTGATAACTTTCTTGTATAATAAGAATATGAAAAATGCCTAGAGACGCATCCACAGGAAACTTGAGATTACTTTCTCTTATAGGACCCTTTTCTACTAAAATATCCTTTGTTTTGTTATCAATGTTATCCCAAAGTCTTGGATCATAGATATTCAAAGCATGAATTATTTGTTATGTTTCATTTTCATTCTCAAATTGATCACCAACCACATTCAGTTCATTAGTATCATTCTCTCTCATTTCTTCTTGATTATTTTCATTCTCAATGAGGGCATCAACCTCTTTATTTTCTATCATTTCTTCTTCCTGACTAATTGGTTGTTGTGATTCATTAACTAATTCATTAGATGGATCTTCAATTGAAGAACTAGTTTTAAAAAAACTTATCAAGAGCTCCTTTTTGAGTTTGAATCATTTTTCTATTTTCCTTATTTTATTTCTTTTTTGACTGCCAAATTCATGTTTCCTAACCATTTTTTATTGCAACTCTTAAATCTAGAAAGAGACAAACAACAAATGAACAAACTAAACACACCACACCAAACACACCACACCAAACACAACCAGCAAAGCAACCAACCACAACCAGAAAAGGAAAAAAACTAAATTTAAGCAACAAAAAAAAAAAAAAAAGCAATACAACATGGTTTATGCTTAAGTTGTATAAAAAGCTTCAATCTTGCAGAGCTTTAACTTCAATTGATCTATATTGCACATCTGCAATGATATAAAAAAATTATAATTAGATACATACAATTCGATATATAAAAAATATGTATACAGATTATGGAAAGAATTCAAATATGGGGTTATTAATATTATTGACGAACCTCATCCTCACTCAGATAATCTTCCAGAGTCTTCTTCTCTACAGAAATCGTGTAGTGTAGAAGAAAGAAATCTACAAATCTTTGTTTGGATAGATCAATTCAAAGACAAAGATAAAAGAGAGATGAGAGAAAAACTGGAAATAATATATTGAAGAGAGCTTTTCTTTTGAGTCAAGGACAATGATATTGAAGAGAATAGAGCTTGGGAGAACAGAGCATGGGAGAAGGGTCTAATATATTGACCAAAACAGAGAGAGGAGAAGACGGTGGGAAAGGGAAAGATCGCTTGGAAGTAGAAAAGTTTTTTATGGGAAAAGAGGAAGTGTGTTGGAAATAGGAAAGATTGCTTTAGAAGCTGGAAATAGGAATATTTGTAATTTTTTATTAAGGCCTCAAAATTTGGAGGCCCATGGCCGTCGCCCTCGGCGCCCAGGCCCAAGGCCGGCCCTGGTCATAATAGAACCTAAGTGCAAAGATGAGAACTTAAGGGGAATCTATTTATTATAGTCAGCTTCATTTACAGTCAAGCGAAAAGGGTAAAGTTGGGACCTCCTATGAGGGGACACACTATGGAAAGAGACCGCAAAACATTGCGAGACATTGCATTCAAAATATTTGGAGTAAATGTAAGGTTAGAAATTGATCGTGATTGCAGATGTATTGTTGAAGAAGGGGGGGGGGGGGGGTTCAGTAAGTTGCTTTTTATATTACTTAATATTGACGTCATTCTTTTTTGTCAATATTTTATTTGTATTGTATATCTAGGGGGGGGTGTTCAGTAAGTTGCTTTTTATATTACTTAATATTGACGTCATTCTTTTTTGTCAATATTTTATTTGTATTGTATATCTAGAATGTTTAATCACCCTTGTCTTTTGTGATCAAGAGAAATGTTGACACTTAGAAGCATAGATTGTCTTGAATTTGTTGAGAAAAAATCGAGCTTAAAAGAGAATTGGAATTAATTCAAATCAATCAACAATCTCTTACCTCATCCGATAGGTGGTGTGTAGAATATAACACTACTACAATTTTAGCTTATACCGACGGACTAATACTGGCAAAAGAGCAGCTTAGCCAATACTTGGACCCAATACTGGCGAAATAAAGTCATTTGTCACTACTAAATAATACTGACCAAGTCTTTTGTCTTTACTAAATTTACTGACGAGCCCCTGTGCCAGTCTCTTTTAGCGCAGGAAGCAAAAACATTAAGCGCCTAAATTTTCAGAGTCACTGACAAGTTTTATTGCCAATACTATTCTTAAATATAATTGTTAACTTCAATTCTTCACTAAAACTTTTCTACTTCCTCCAAACCGACCATCTCTTCCCTCTTCTTTTCATTGAAGAAGGAATTGTACTCTTCCTTAAAGCTAGTGGAGTTGGAGGAATGTGTGAAAGTGATTTTCATGTCTGCTGGTTCAGATTGAGAGAGAGAGATTAAATTTGGGGGTTTTCTTTGCTCTTCTCAATCGGGGTTGTTGATTCAGATTGAGAGAGAGATTAAATTTGGGGGTTTCTTTGCTCTTTTCAGTTGGGTCTGACTTGGTTGTTCTTCTTTAAAGAGAGCCCCTGTTCTGGTGAGATTTTTGTTCTTATTTTGTTTGTTATTTTATTTTTTCAAGTATTTGAGAATAGGTAATGACCCATGAATCCTTCCAATTAGTTGTATAGGTGAAGCCTGATTACATCCTTTGATTTTTCAAAGCTATTGTTTTAATTTTTTATTATTTGTTGGTGAAGTCTGATGTGTGGGTATTCATGTATTAATCTATTGCAGGAGTGTTGAATTTTTGTTGGAAACTTAGAATCCAGGTGTGTTTCCCTTTACTTTTTTCTATTATATGGTTGTTCTTTGATTATTGTATTGAGATTATCGGGCTTTCATCTATGAGTTGATATATTTTGTTTCATATGTATACTTTTTTTTAGGTGAGACCCAAGGGTATCCACCGCCGACAGCAGTGACTAATCCCTTTATACTTTATTTGTTGTTATGACGTGAGTTTCTTTAGCTATTAAGTGGGTCTAGTTGTTTGGTGTTATAGTTCTTTTCTTCAGTTGAATGAATATGCAATTTTTTAGTTAATATATTATTTAGACTCGGGTTTTTGTTATTTTAATTTGGTTTTGCTTGTGAATTGAAGTAGATGGTAATGAGGGTCATCTAATGGATAATAAATTGACCCACCTGATAGGAATTTATCGACAGTAAGTATGAGGGATGATCTGTGCTGAATAATTGTATTTGGTGCCTTGCACTCAATATTAGGTGAACTATGGATAAAAGTTGGGTACATTTGAGGAGAAATTGTAAGGAATACGCAGACGGATGTTTTTAGATGACGTCTTTGCCAAAGTGGGTTTTGGAGAGAGGGTCATATGTCCTTGCAAAAAATGTTGTAACCGTTATCGCTATGAAAGAAACATCATCCAACAGCATCTTATAGAAAAAGGAATGGATCCCACATATATGAATGGCCCTTGGAGGCATCATGGGGAGCCCATGACAAATTTACCATTCCAAGAGGATATAGAATCAGTTCACAATGAAGAAGTTTGTATAGATGACATTCATGATTTTCTCAATGAAGCCTTTGTGCAACCAATAATTGGAGAAACTGTTGGGACTTTGAGAGAGCCACCTATCTTTGATGGCCAAACACCTAAGGCTGAAATGTTTTATAAGTTACTTGAAGAAGTAGATATGGAGTTGTACCCTTGGTGTAAATATAAGAAATTGTATTCTGTTGTAAGATTGTTCCAGATTAAATGTTTAGGGAACATGAGTGATAATGTCTTTACAATGCTGTTACAATTGGTTAAACAATTGTTGCCAGAGGGGGATTGTTTACTAAAAAATAATTATGATGCTAAAAAAATCATTAGGGAGTTGGGACTCACAGTTGAGAGGATCGATGCTTGCCCCAATGATTGTATGTTGTTTTGGAAAGATACATTAGACTTGACTGAGCGTGCACTTTGTGGTGCCTCAAGGTACAGAGTCAATATTGTGGGAGGTTGTTCGAGTAAGAACATATCAGCTAAGGTTCCAGCCAAGGTTCTTCGGTATTTTCCATTAAAACTAAGGTTGCAAAGATTGTTTATGTCGAAGCATACCGCTGAAGATATGAGATGGCATGCAACCGAATGTCCTAAAGATGGATTCATGAGGCACCCATCAGATTCTCGTGCGTAGAAGCATTTGGATTCCTTATACCCTGAATTTTCTTCGGAGATACGCAACGTGCGATTGGGGCTTGCGAGTGATGGGTTTAATCCCTTTTCAAATATGAGCAAAGCCCATAGTACATGGCCTGTTGTACTGTCAGTTTATAAATTGCCTCCGTGGATGTGTATGAAGCAACCAAATTTATTGTTATCATCAATAATTCCTGGTCCTGATGGGCCTTGCAATAATATTGATGTGTATTTGAAGCCTTTAATCGATGAGTTGAAAGAGTTATGGGAGGTTGGTATTAAGACGTTTGATGTGTTTGCCAACCAAACTTTTACAATGAAGGCTGCATTGTTATGGACGATTAATGACTTTCCAGCCTATGCGATTCTTTCAGGATGGAGCACAAAGGGGAAGAAAGCGTGTCCGCATTGCATGGATGATACAGTCTCAATGCATTTGGCAAATAGTACTAAGATGTGTTATATGGTAATCGAAGATTTCTACCTATACAACATCGGTTTCGAAGAGATAAAGCAGCCTTTAACAGTAAGGAAGAACATGCTCTTCCACCTATTCCCTTGAGCTTGACAGGTTCCCAGTGTTCAGAAAAATTGTCAAGTTTGACATTCACATTTCGAAAACCCAAAAAGAAGTCAGCTGATCTTGTTGGGCAAGGAAAACCCAAAAAACGTTCTTGTCCCATTAGGAATACAAATACATGTCCCACAATGAATATAAATAGTAACAAAGTTCAGTGGAAGAAGAAAAGCATATTCTTTGAGTTACCATATTGGCAATATCTTTTGATACGACAAAACCTTGATCTAATGCATATTGAAAAGAATGTTTGTGAAAATATTTTAGGTACATTGTTAAATATTCCTGGGAAGACAAAGGATGGAATAAAAGCTCGTAAGGACCTTCAAATTTTGAATATAAGGAGAAAACAGCACCCTTATATAAATGGGAAAGGTAAGGAAGTTTTTGATCTAGCACTTTTTGACATGAGGAAAAGGGAAAAAACAATGTTTTGCAAAGTCTTGGCGAATGTGAGAGTTCCTGATGGGTATTCTGCAAATCTGTCTAGATGTGTTAATGTGAATGAGAGAAAAATACACGGATTGAAAAGTCATGACTATCGTATTATAATGCAACAGCTGCTGCCCCTTGCAATACGACGAGTATTACCAAAAGCTGTTACCATTAATTGTTTTGCTTGAGCTAAGTGCAATTTTTAGACGGTTATGTAGTAAGAAGGAATCTAAAGCATCATACATGGCTTTAAAACCTAGGATTGCAGTAACATTATGCCAGATGGAAAAGATATTCCCTCCTTCCTTCTTTGTTGTGATGGTACACTTAATCATGCATTTGGCAGATGAGGCTACAATCGCAGGGCCTGCCCCATATCGGTGGATGTATCCCATTGAAAGGTAATTAGTTCAACTCTTATTTATTCTTTCTAGTTTTATATTTTAATTGTAAATTAACATGTTCAATGTTACCATATCTTCAGATACCTACAAACGTTAAAGAAATATGTTCGGAATAAGAGTTATCCTGAAGGAAGTATGGAACAAGGATATCTTGTCGACGAGGGATTAGCTATGTGTACCATGTATCTTAGCAATGTTGAGACTCGAAGGAATCGAAAGGGTCGAAATGCTGATGGTATTGGTCGTGGTGTCATTGGGGAGCTAAAAGTTTTTGACCCTTCAGGTCATTCTAAGGGTTCAGCTGAACAAATATATCTTGACAAAGATGTTTGGGACCAATGTCGCAGAGTTGTCTTGTTCAATTGCGATGAAGTTTCTCCCTTTTTAGAGTAAGATATATATGAATAAAAACAAGCAAGTTGTTGATACTTTTTTTTTTCAATCCTCAATTATGATCTAATAACTAACAAGTCATTACATTATATTGTAAAACAGAAAATGCTTCCAAGAATTGAGACAAAGTAATCGACGAAAGACCATACGGGAAATTGAGGGGATGAGAAATAAGATATTTCCAACTTGGTTCAAGGATCATGTAAGTATGTTTAGTTGTAATCTGATTCATTTTATGTTGCTGCACCATATTTTTAATTAAAGTCATTTACTTTAGTTGTTGTTTTAAATTATAGGTTACTAAATTGTACACAGCCCATGATTTGTCAATATCTGAGGACTTGCGTTGGCTATCAATTGGTCCTAGTAGATTTGTGAACAAGTATAAGAATCACACATAATTCATGGGTGCAGGTTTCGGATTAAATCAGTAGACGATAAAAAGAAGAATCAGAATAGTGGTGTATTTCAATGTGCAGAGACATCTAGTTACTCAAGCGCAAGAGATCGCAATCCAGTAATTGGCAATGTTGATTATTATGGTGTTCTTAAAGACATTTATGAACTTAATTATGGGGGTCAAACAGAACGGGATGATAATGGTCGGAAAATTACACTATTTAACTTCGACTTGGTTGATACTGCTAGTGATAGGGGGATGAAGTTTGATGGGTATGGTTTCCCTTTGGTTAATTTCAATCGATTGCGACAAACGAAAGACACTTTCATATTGGCTTCTCAAGCTACACAAGTGTTTTATGTTGTAGATCCCAAAGACAGTCATTGGCATGTGCCAACCCAAACTCAACCAAGAGATTTTTTTGATGTGCTAGAAGATAGTGATCTAGCTCCAACTATAGATAACCCTTTAAGTGCTATTGATAATTATGCCATTCCGAATCTTGATGATCAGTTGCTAGACAATGAGGAATTGCATATTAGGGTTGATATGGATGAGATGGTAGATGAGGATGAGCCCGGAAATGAGGATGAAGAAGATGTACAGTCTTCAGATGATCTCTCCACTGAAAACGAGGATGAACTTTATGATGACATGGAGTATTGAATTTTTCATGTATTTTGATGAGCTCTGTGCTTAAATTGACTACGTAATTTTGAGAATATTGTACAAGAATTTCTTTAGTAGATTGTTTTGTATTGAAATGTTGAAGTACTAGTTTCTTTTACCAATGATGTCTGATCAATTTGTTACCCCTTCTCTGTTATGTATATCAAATTTTTTAGATGAACAGTTCTCGAGATAGTTCACAAGAAGGGCCCAACGCTGACTTGGGGGATGGTCTAGAGGGAGATGGTTCTACTGCTACTGGTCTGTTTGTTTTTTATTTTTTATTTTTCGTTTAATAAACTGGTATGTTTTAATCATAGACAAATATATTGAATATGGGACATTTCACAGTCACATCATGTCCAAATAGCTATGAGTATTTTTCATGTGAATAATATGTGAGAAACTTATTACCTTACAGTTTCTTATTATTTTCTTGTTGTATTGATTAGTTAAAATTAACTTTTCATGTAGGCAAGGAGGCGAAGCAAGGTCGGGGTCAAGGGAAATGCAACTGGTTTCTAAATAACAAAAAAGAGTCGGTTGATTTATCTCCATTTGGCAGAGTTATTAGTGATAATAGTCCCCATTTTTCTAGATACATGGTTATTCTAGCGCAGGATGCCAATCTAATTCCGATCAAGTATTTAAAATGGGAAAAAGTACCAGACTCCTGCAAACTTGATGTTTGGGACACTTTACGGGTTTGTTATTCCTAAAATTATTCAGTTTAATAGGTATATTTCAGGTTGATGTAAGACTACCTTATTGTGGATGCAGGGCACCATTGAATTTTGTCCTGAACAACAACCTAGGATTCATGTCTTCAAGGATGTAACAATGAAGAATATTGAAAAATTGTGGAGAAGTTTCTAGAGTGATTTGAAGAAAGCTTATTATAAGCCTTTCATAGGAAGTAAAAGACGGTGGCAATGTGGGGATTCTCGTGTAGACCCTCGCATTTGAAGTGTTCTGAGGATGAGTCGTATGTGCCTCCAAATAATCATCTTGGCAATTCTAACTATATAGAGTACTCATGTTTTAACAGTGTTTCGGACATCGAATGATTTTGATTCAAACGATGAGTTTGGATAAATTGGTATTTTTCCTAAAATGTTTGATTAGTGATCAATGCCTCTGAATAATATTCTCAGCATTTATGCGCTTCTATCCTCAAACTTCCAAGATATTTTCTGGTAAGTTAGTTTCTAATGGTGTCTTTCTTTGTACTTTTATACTTTTGTTGAGGCCCAAAAAATCCACGGTTTGGCCCAAATAAATTCTCGGCCCAATGCAATACCTTACCGAGGAGAAGCCCAATTAGGGCATGCGAAAGTTCGTCATACGCGCTTGCACACATGCCACGCCAAGCAAATAAGCAACACGTCGCGCTACAAGCTTAAGTGGGCCCAAGCCACTCAAATGCCCGGGGCTTGCTTGAGTGGGTTGTGGTATGTATGGTAACAAGTTATCATGGGGCCCATCGATGGGTTGAGAAATGGAAGTCTCGGGTCGCTTGGGGGCCTCGGGACTCAAGCCCATTTCTTAGGCCCAAACGCGGGTAAACACAAGAGAGAAAGTAGCCCATTGCCTCAACTAGAATAGCCCAACTAAAATAGCCCAACCAAAATAACCCATTACTTTAGCCCATAAAGCCCTAAATATTTGGTGGATTTAGCCCACTTATTAAATGACTTGGTTTTATATATTAAAAGGCCCAAACCATTTGAATAAGTGGAAGTCAGGACCCTCAACATTCGGCTGAAGCAGAAAACCCCGAAGAAGCCAAAGATTCACATGTGAGGGGCTGCTGGGAGAACAAGTTCCAAGTGCAAACATTCAAGAAACCAAAGGGTATTGGCACGCAGGGGAGAAAGCTATCTCTTAAACCAACAGGCACACCCACTTTCTTTCCTTCATCAGATTTGGCCATGGAAAGAGGAAGAAAGAGGAGAAAGAAGATGGGTGAAAGAGGGAAGTTCCCCTCCGAGGCAGCCGCTGGAAGAAGCCTGGAGCACCCAAAATCTCTGATTTTGTGGGATTGGGCAGAGCTGACTTTGCCACCATGAGGTAAGTCAAGAGGGAGGAGAAGAAAGAAGGAGGAAAACTTAGCTAGATTGGGAGGAAACCATTAAGGTTTCTTGGAGAAGAGCAAATCCCAGCAGCTATAAATAGAACCCCTCTCTACCCAACACAATACACTTCAGAGAGCAAGCTTCCTCTCTCACCTGCAAACTCAGTAATTTTCGTGCTTTTTTGGTCTATTACTCTTATTTCCCCCATTTTTCCCCTTCTGGCAGGCTGCTCAGAGTCACTGCCAAGCTGCCGGAAGTTACACTCAAGCCACCCATTCCTCTCTTTTCCCTCATTCTCAGGCAAACCTCTCTGCTAATTCTTCATTTCCTACCTTAATACCTATTTTCCCCTAAGAATACTCAGTTTTCTCTCAAGTGCTAAACCCATGATAATTTTGCTCCCATGCCATAATCTTCTCATGCAAAGCTAGAAGATTTATCTGTAATTTGTTGTTATTTTTATTGGTGAAGATAACCAAAATACTTCCTAAGGCCTTGCTGCCCTTTCGAAGCATTTTGGGGCTTAATTTTCGAACTCAGGCAAAGGGGACAACTTCATCAGCTCAGCCCACTTGCTGCCGGAAGAAAAAAGCCCCTACAACTTTCAATTGTTTGAAACTTGTTTATGGACCTTTAACTGTTTTATTTTGAGTTGTATATCTAGATTGTCTGTCAATATTAATCAAGAACATTTGAGAAGATATTTTGAGAAACTTTTTGCTCTCGCATACAAATTCATTCTATTGACAACAAGAAAATACACGGCACCACGAATATTGTCTTTTTTTGTTAGAGGAAAAGGAACTTGGTTGGGTGTGGACTCTAAGGGCTCGTTTGGTACACGGGATTGGCTTGGACTAGCTTGGACTAAATTTAGTACCATGTTTGTTTTATCTAATCCTAGTCTTAGATGGGATTGCTAATATCGGGCCCACCAAAAACACATCCTTAGGAGGGGACTAGTAATCCCATGTGGAAGGGGAGGATTAGCTAGTCCCAATGCTCACCAATGTATAAAATGCATATATTATATTGTAAAATTAATAACATATATTATTATTATTAAACTTACTTACACATATACTATAATGTACATATATACATGTATATACACATAAATTTATAATATATGTATATATGTACATATATGTGTATATATATACATGCACATATATACATATATAATATACATATACATATATACATGTATATTATTATTATAATATATCCATATACACATATACATATTAATATTATAATAATAGCATACATGTATATATGTAATATATATTATATATTACAATACATATATATATATACGTATATATACATATATGTGTATATATATTTACTACAAGGAAAATCCCTTTTAGCGACGAAACCAGTTGGTCGCTATTACATGCTATTTCGTCGCCAACGATAAATAGCGACGAATATTTTTGGTCACTAGGGTCGTCGCTGCAAGCTCGTGGCTAAAAGTACCATGCGACGAAACAAAATTTCGTCGCTAAAATAACTTAGCGACCAAAACACGTCGTCGCCAATTAGCTCCAAGTTGGTCGCCTATAGAGAGGGAGTTGCCGCCAAAAAACCAAAAATTCCCGCGAAATGGAATTATTTAGTGACGAAATATATGTTTGGTCGCCAAAGATGGGAGTTTATTTGTGGAATATGTTAGTGGGTTTACTGAATGGGCGACGAACAGATTGGTCGCTAAAAACTGCTGTCAGATTGAGCGACGAAAAGAAATTCATTGCCAAAAGTGTATAGATTTTTTTTTTTTTTGAAATAAAAATTTGTGTCAAGCTTTGTAACAGAATATTATTTAGTCCATAAAGTTTCTGAAAAACACTAAATAGATGAAATTAATAAAAATCGCATAATTACTGTTCAGAAGATACTAGTTTAAGCATACATCAATGTAGCTAGATACAAAAAACCCCAAGGTATGCTAAAGATACAAAAACCATCAAGTAGCTAGATATAGAAACCCTCTAGAACCCCCCAAGGTATGCTACATATAAAAACCATCAAGTATGTAGATGTACACACAACCTAATGAATATTTACAATATCATCAAGATCATCATAAACATTACGTGAACCACCACTATTACCTTGATCACCATCACAAGAAGAATCACCAGTATGCTGGGATGGAACATCTAAATGTGAGGGTACAGGACCGCATCCACTCAATGACATTCAAAAGTTTACCCACTGTGCCAGCTCACAAACTATGCCTTTCAACTCACCAACTGTGCCTTGAAGTTCCTCAACCTTTTTCTCTGTAGCAAAAGAGGAGGCAACTCGACCACTATGCGAACTCTCCACTCGGAGACTAGAACCCAAGCCTCGAATCCTCTTGCCCTTTGCAACCCCAAGTTCTGCAGTCATGATCTCTAACTGTTGTGGGATAGGGAGTGCGATTTGATCTAGTGGAGTTCCTAAACTCTCTGCCACTTGTTGCTTGGCCTTCTTATACTCTTCATACATCTTCTACAAAAAGAAGCAAAATAAAGATATGTCAATATTATAAATGCATAAAAAGAATGAAGTGAATGGGATGCTAGTACCACCAATGGCGTTCATAAATTAGCAGTGCCAATTATCCAAATCAATCACAAACAAAAATAAAATCAACTTGAAGCAAATAATAAAAGGAAAATGCACATAAAAAATGGAATATATCTCTTTGGATATACAGATTGCAGAAAGTTTGAAAATACTCACAGGTCTTATAAGATCCTTTTTCTGCATCTCCCCAAAGCACAATACAAACAAGAAACTTCGAAAAACAGGGATTATAAATATTTGCCCAGCAACATGGCCCCCTTATAATTGGGCCTAAATTTGAACTTCTAAGAGCACAACGGGTTATTAGAGCTGAATTTGTTTAATTGGAGTTTGGAATTGGGCCTCCAAAGAGGAAGAGAAGTACAACTGCAGGCAGCTCAGTTTCAAAACAATCTTAGCATGCACGTTATTTTGGTCATCAATATATAAGATCATGGAAAATTTAGAAAACTTACACATATCTTCTTTGTATTTCTAATTAATTAGTTCTATTTGCAATGGATAAAGTCTTTATATGATGCTAAAACCAAGGTACACAATTAGCATCTAAAATAATGGGTCGTCAAAAACTTGCATGACCAGTCGGCTGATTTTGTTTTTGATTGCAGATTATAAACTAAAAAGCCATGAAGAGTACATGCATGTCACATATATATGCAAGTCAATAGTTAATTGTCAGCAGGTTTATGTATTCCTTACCCCTTTAATTTCAGCAGCCTCATTGATCGACAGGCTCTTATCCTTACACATACACATGTTGTTCCAGTAGCTAATGTATGTAGGATTTTCACCCTTCTACATTTTCCCAACAAAAAGAAAATGAGAAATACTTGAAATTATTACAATATAATAAATAAAGAAAGATTTCAAGTGGCCTAAAATTATAAACCTCTTTAACACCATCCATGTGTTTTAGGAAAGAATGTGACCCCATGTATATATGATCAAACTTCTTTTTTTATGTGTATAATGTATGTATATATATAATATACATATACACATGGGTATAATACATACATATATATATATATATATGTATTTTATAATATAATATATATACATGTATATACATGTATGTGTACATATATATATATATACATACATATGTTTATATTATTTATAATCTACATATATACATGTATATACACATAAATGTCACATATATTATAAAATACATGTGTACACATACATAATATATGTATTTATACATATATATACATATACATAGATAGTTTTGAAAAACTAAAAAAAATCTAGTCCTAGTCCAAGCGTACACCAAACGCAGGATAAGTGTTATCCAACTTAGACCAAGCCAAGCCAAGCCAAGATAGCCCCTAAGCATAGTCCATGCCAAGACAGTCCTGTGTACCAAACGAGCCCTAAGGGTGGCAATGTCAAAAGTGTTATTGAATCTCATATACGGTACCTAAAAATTCACTAATTCAATCCCTTACTTTATGCAACAAGGTGTGGAAGGTCAATAAATAATGTCAGTCGTATGTTCGATGTCATAGATTAGGTAACTATTATCTCATGTTTTTGTTTAAATTTGACCTAGTGTAGGTACATTACCAAAGCCCTCGATCACTCGGAGATGCAACCTACGTCTTTATTAGAGACAATGACATTGAGTATATAGCTTTGTTGATTGGATATGATACGATGTACATGTACTAAATTTATTTTTTGATATAAGATTCTAAAATCGTAAGACAAATTTGTTTGATTGATTAACTCTATTTTTATTTTGTGCAGACTCCTCAAATTTTAAAATTAAAAAGTTCAACTCGAATTAAGGATGGCAATTTGGTAGCAATTGGTTCCAGAGTTGCGCAATAGCTTCTAGTATCTTGAGTGTAAGGTATGTGAAAAAGTTACTCTATCCTACTTTTGAAAATTCTAAAATATTGGTTGCTGTTTTCCTCTAATTTTTGCTTGAATTATTCATATTATTTTTAGGTGTGTAAACAACATGTCAATTGAAAATGGTTTGTTATTGGTTAGGGATGATTTGATCTAAGTTTTCTTAAAAGATCCATCCACCTAGAGTTTTATTATAGTGTGTCATATTACTGACCATATTTCCCCTGCTTGTCGTTAACATGCGCTTGCATTTTCTGAGGATGAGTGGTATGTACCTACAAATAATCTTGTTGAAAATTCTAATTATATACAGTACTCACGTCCTAACAATGTTTTGAATATCGAATGATTTTGATTCGAACAATGAGGTTTGGATAAATTGGTAATTTTCAGGAAATGTTTGATGAACGATCAGTGTCTCTGAATAATCTTCTCAGGAATTATGCACTTCTATCCTCAAATTTCCAAAATATTTTCTGGTAAGTTAGTCTCTAGTGGTGTCTTTGTTTGTACTTTTATACCTTCAATTGTTTGAAACTTGTTTACGAACCTTATATCATTTATAAGCTTATTTGAGGGTTCTCTCAATCGAAGCTCTTTGGACATATATATACAGTCCCCTTTTATTGAGGGATCTCTCAAATAATTTTATTTCAGAGACACCATTTAGAGTGCCCTACAATTTTTTTTTTTTAACAATCCAAACCATGTATTTTTCAAGTATTCATTCATAGATCATCCTTGCAAAAAATCAGAAAAATTAAAAATCATTAAGGCGTTTAATTGCTAGCAACAAAATAGATGAACACGATCCTTCAAGAAAAGACTAAAATAACAATAATATAATTGAGTGGTCAAAATGTTTTGGATACAAGTGATTTTTTGTAGATATGATCTTTGAGTGAATATCTAAAAATTAGACGGTTCGGATCATTGAAAAACAATGTGTGGTGGGACCTACAAGGGTGTTGCTCAAATAAGCTTATTTGATGGATCCCTCAACCAAAGCTCACTGATATATATACTCTTCTATTGGGGCCCACTAAAAGTTTTATTTAAACGATCTAAACCGTCTATTTTTCAAGTCTTCATTTAATCACGACCCGATTCGAAAATAAGGAATATTCCCGAATCATGGTGTGAGTCATACCATAGTCATAAGAATAAAATCCTACAACCATGGTATGATGAGAAATAGAGCCACAAAATAATACAAATTTAGATCACAAAATCTGAGTCGCAGTAGCTTGTAGTTAACTACATACTAGGATTGTTAACAAACGGTTGACTACTTACAAATATTAATTACACAAATCAACAATAAAAACCCAGCAGCTTAGTTGAATCCGCTTCCTCAAACTTCTTCTTTAATCCTACACAATCTATTAGGGTATGAGCATTCTAATGCCTAGTAGAGTACCTTCAAACCCCTCAAAGTCAGTTATCACAGTTAATCAAAGTGTCATGCATCAAACAACACAAGATATACAAATTATGCAATCATACTAGATAGATAAATTTGCATATGCGGTGATGCCATGAACTCACTCCCTTCTAATCCCACTAATTCATATCCTAGGGCAACAAGCCTGCATGTCCCATACCATGCGTTTTACCACTGTGGCTCCGAATACCCTAAAATATGAACTAGCGCCCATCCGTCCCTTAACCCATTTTTCTTTTGTTTACGAATTTCTCAACTTTCACTTATCATTAGAGGCCCTGCTCCCATCACCCCAATATATTCAAGCTCTGCTCCCGTCACTTGAATATACTCCACATTTTATTCAGATATATCTAAAGCCTTCTC